GGCGAGACGCCCGGAGCGGCCGCTGCGGCCAGTAGCTGCCGCCGCCACCGCCGGCCCCTTCACCGGCTGCCCCGCTCAGACCTAGGCGGGAGGGGTGAGAGAGATGCAGCTTGGGGCCCAGCTCCGGCACCGCACCCCGTAAAGGGCTGACCTTCCACCTCGCCACCTCACCCACGGCAAGCCAAGACCAGACCAGCTCAGACCGCCTCTTGGTAAAGTGCTGGGAGGGACAGGCGAGCAGGGGCGGACAGAGGCGAGGCGGCTTGCCGGCTGGGGCCTCCAGAGCCGTGTTCCTGGCTCGGGCACCCACGAGGGATGGGTTTCCATCGGTTGTCCTTCAGGAAGCCGTTTCATAGAAACTCAGCAGCGTTTAAAAACAAAAACAAAAAATCTGCATTTTTCCGTTCTGATCTCCTAATGGGAAGCCAGTGAACGCTTAATCACAGTTGTCACGTTTTGGGTGTATTTTGGTGGGGGGGAGCACGATTGGTCCTGGGGAGGTGCTTGGGCCTCCGAAGCCCAAGCTGGTGCTTTGATGACCCCTGTCCCTTCCCCTGTGGAATTTTACACTCTGCGGGGAAGATTTGTGAGGTGCCAAAGGCAGCTCTGTGCGTGCACAGAGGATGGGGAGGAGTGTAGAAGCGCGGCCTTCTGGGGTGTTGGAGAACCACTTGGCGGTATTTGTTTCGCTTCAGGTTACTTTTTCCGGAAACAGGAGGTAGATAGCCCCTGGCCAGGTAGGGTGCTCAGGTGGTACTGCTGACCCTTGGGAGGCTAGGAGAGCTGCTGGGGTACGTGGGGTGGGGGGCTGGTGCCAAAGAGCAGCCTCCAGTGTTAAGCGTTGAGATACTTGTGCTCTTCCCACTCTGAGGGTTCAGAGAGCTTCATGCTGAAGGCGTGAGGATGTATCTGCTCCCTCTTACAGTTGAGGACGCTTGACGTTCCCAGGCCCAGAGCTCCAGCCCATCCAGCACTGCAGTCACCCCCGTCTGTTCTTAGTCGCTGTAGTGTTTAGATTATTTTCAAGAGCGGGAGTTGATTGGTCACTTCTCCCTGTACTTGCGTGTGGCTCTTCTGTGGACTGCGGTAACGACAGCCCTTTTTCTCAAAATGAGAATTCGAGAATGAGGTAACGTACGGTTACCGTTCCGCAGAGACCGTGCGGTGTAATCAGTTGTCATTCTCCTCCCCTAGTGCTTGTGAAACCGAACACAACCAAAGCATGGATATGGGAAACCAACACCCTTCTATTAGTCGGCTTCAGGAAATCCAAAAGGAAGTGAAAAGCATAGAACAGCAAGTCATTGGCTTCAGTGGTCTGCCGGATGATAAGAATTACAAGAGACTGGAGAGGATTCTAACAAAACAACTGTTTGAAATAGACTCTGTAGAAACCGAAGGGAAGGGAGACATTCAGCAAGCCAGGAAGCGGGCGGCGCGGGAGACGGAGCGTCTGCTCAAGGAGCTGGAGCAGAATGCGAACCACCCACACCGGATCGAAATCCACAGCATCTTCAAAGAAGCCCAGGCCCTGGTGAAAGAGGAGATCGTGCCATTCTACACCGGAGGCAACTGCGTGACCGAGGAGTTCGAAGAAGGCATCCAGGACATCATTCTGAGGCTGACGCACGTTAAAACCGGGGGAAAGGTCTCTTTGCGGAAAGCGAGGTATCACACTTTAACCAGGGTCTGTGCGGTGCAGGAGATCATCGAAGACTGCGTGAAAAAGCAGCCGTCCCTCCCGCTCTCCGAGGACGCGCACCCTTCCGTCGCCAAGATCAACTCTGTGATGTGTGAGGTGAACAAGGCCAGGGGCACCCTGATTGCCCTCTTGATGGGGGTGACCAGTAACGAGACGTTCAGGCACTTGTCGTGTGTGCTCTCGGGACTGATGGCCGACCTGGATGCTTTAGATGTTTGCGGGCACACCGAGATCCGAAACTACCGCAGGGAGGTCGTGGAGGACATCAACAAGTTGTTGAAGTATTTGGATTTAGAAGAGGAAGCAGACAGTACCCACGCATTTGACCTGGGGCAGAATCATTCCATTTTAAAAATAGAGAAGGTCCTCACAAGAATGAGAGAAATAAAAAACGAACTCCTTCAGGCACAAAACCCCCTTGAGTTGTACGTGAGCTCCAAAACAGAGTTGCAGGGTCTGATTGGACAGTTGGACGAGGTGAGTCTCGAAAAGAACCCGTGCATCCGCGAAGCCCGGAGAAGAGCCGTGATCGAAGTGCAGACCCTCATCACTTACATCGACTTGAAGGAAGCGCTCGAGAAAAGGCAGGCGTTCCCATGTGAGGAGCACCCGTCGCACAAAGCCGTCTGGACCATCCTGGGACACCTGTCCGACATCCAGGGGGAGGTCCTCTCGTTCGATGGAAATCGAACTGATAAGAACTACATCCGGCTGGAGGAGCTGCTCACCAAGCAGCTGCTGGCCCTGGATGCCGTCGACCCGCAGGGGGAGGAGAAGTGCAAGGCTGCCCGCAAGCAGGCGGTGAGGCTGGCCCAGAACATCCTCAGCTACCTGGACCTGAAGTCCGACGAGTGGGAGTACTGAGGCCGGAGCGCCCGCGTGGCCGGCCGTGTTCACAGCGAGCTTCCGGGTCCGTGGGCCCGACTGTGATTTATACGTGCATATTTCAATCTCAGTATTTATGATTGAAGCAAATTATATTCAGTTTCTCTGCTGCTTTTGATGTCGCAAAACAAATATCATTACAGCACATTAACTTTTCCATTGGATGAGTATCCGTATGTTGTGGTGTGGTTTTTTTAAAGTCAAAATGGAATAGGGGCAGCTTTTATCATTTTTAAGCGGGTTGTGCAGGCGGTAAATTGCAGATGTTTCCAATCTGGAGCTAGACGTAGCTTTGCATAAAACCAGAACAATTATGGGAAAGGGGACTTTCCAGTTAAAGAGAAGTAAATGTAAGGCGCAGGCGCAAGAGCAGGACGGTGTGTTTTATTATGCGGAAGCGGGATTTTTTCATTTACAAAGCCTGATTGGTCTCACCCCATTTAATACGGCGGGGCTTTTTTCTTTTTTTTGGATGGTCTGTTCTTTCATAAACGTTTTGTTTGAAAAACTGTATTCCCCTCCCCCCCTTACACTGCATTTAGAGAGGGGGATGTTTTTTGTGTGCGACAAAAGAAAATTATGAAAATTAATAGCAAAGAAACTTTTGAGACCGCATTGAAAAAGGGTAAAACACCAGCCAGTACCTTCAAGTTGTTTTTGTTTGTAAAAACTGAACTTAGAGTTTTCCTTAGTAAGGGAGAGAACATTGAAATGAAGTTAATGGACCTTTCAAAAAAAAAAAAAGTAGCACCCATACCTGTAATAGGGTAGTAAGATCTGGAGATGGGTTACCAATGTCAGGTGATACTCAAAACTAATAGGCAAATGTGTGTGGACCTAGCATGTAATGGGCTGATCTGTCATTCGAGGCTGCACAGTGGACGGTACTGTCTACAACGATGGGAACAGAAACTGTTCCCAGCCCTGCAGGACCAGGTCACTACAGCTCGTCCGAGGAAGTCAGCGGTCAGCTCCTAGCATCCTAAACATCGCACTCTGGGACCAGGTGGGGCAAGCTGCTCGGAGCACCTGCTGTGCCCCTCACCTCCCGCCACTGGCTCGTGGGAGTTTCTCGAGCGCCTCACAGAGCCAGTAAAGTCTGTCGGTCCATGAGATTTTTCTCTTCCGCTAAAGGATGTACATATTTCTGTAACTACTTCCTGAGGACCCAGTTTTACGGTTTCCTGTTAATGTGAACAGGAAAACATTCTCAAAGTTCTGAAGTGCCTTGATGACATGTAGGTCCCAGTATTACCACAAGAGACTGCTCTTTCTGTAGTCACCTTGCACAGAATAATCATGTTAGAGTACTTCTTTTGAACTCTGTAGTGACTGTTATCTTTCAGAGATTAATTTGGTAACTTCATGTAAACAGCTACAAATAAGGTAGATAAAGGAATATCCCTAAATATCTAAGAGGTGATCAGAGTGTAGCCCTAGAGCGATTTTCCCTTCGTCCCAGTATTGCCCCATAACTAAAAGCCCTTGACCTGTCTTTCCTACTAGAATGTAGACGCGCTGGATAGTGGGGCGCAGGGCAGCGAGCCCCTCCCACCGCACATGCAGCTCCTGGCGGCCGAGGGCTCTCAGCGCAAGTTACTGGCAACTGTTTGAGGCAAACTTATTTTAGGATTGCTATTCTGTATCTTAGTTTTAGGGGCCTTTTAAAGTTCTGAAGAGTTTTTAAAAGCCGCTGACTGTCTGGGTCCCAGCTCAGGAGGTCAAGGTTTATTTACTCCTCCCAGACACACCTGCGGTGGCCCGGCCAGCTCCATTGTAAACTCCAGGCCTGAAAGTTAAAGGAGCAGCGTTTCCTTTAAGGAAACACTGTTCCGCCTATTGTTCTGTGAAAACAGCTCTGCCCTGTGCTCCATCTCACGTGTCTCTCCGGGTTCTGTAGCGCCGGCTCACTGCCCAGCTTTAGCGTGTGTATGCTTGTCGGGCGCGGACCTCCGCCAGGCCCTTTGGGATCGCTCACGTGGGTTCTTTTGGTCAAGATACCATCAAAGCAACCTTGATGGATGGTTAAGGCCCAGCGTTGCCTGTGTTCAATCTGCCTGGTCCCCTGTACCTGCTGTCCTCCCCAAGTGGGCCCAAGTGACCTGGGTCTAGCTTGCCTGTCCCTCGTCGGGAGCAGGCTCTTTCGCTGTGGGCTGCTGCATGCAATCTTGTAACTGGGCTCACCACATTGTATTGTGTGTTCGTGATCCAACCCGAAGACAATCTGAAATAGAAGTAAAATCTACCCCTGAAGATGTCTGCCTGGGTTCTGCATTAAATGGCGTAATCCACGTTCACGCAAAACCGCTGGGGACGTTCACTGTCTTCCCTTCAGACACGCCCCACCCAGACAGAGCCGGTCAGTCTGTAACGCAGCAGTCACAAAAATAAACGGAACCAGAATGTCGACCGAGTACAGTTCAATGCTTTATTTTCCTAAATTGGCTTGTGTAGTTGATATAACTTAGTATGTTTGAGAAGTTTAACCCATAAAAAAAAGAAAAAAAAAGTTTAACCCGTTTTTCTTGTTTGTTTTATTTTGCGGTTTTTATCTGGTTTTTGAGGGTCTAAGCTTATCCTGTACATACAGTTTTGTTAAGCAAGGTTTTTAGCTTTTCGTGCATCTGGTACTTCTAAGAATAATTGGGGAGATATTTGCCATTGATTTTGATGTATAATGGGTGTAATACAGGTGTGTGGATCCTGTCCCCTCTTTATAAGCTGTATGACTATTGTAACAGTATGTTTTAAGTATTCAGTATTATTTGAGATGCATATTAGTATACCCTTAATTATGAATGAAATAAAATGGTCTTAGCTTATCTTTGCAGTGGAGAGAGGGTGTGAGTCTGAGGTGTGAGTCCTGTTGACACGTCTTCACCTTCACTTGCTGTGGCCAGGAGGGGTGATACGGTACCCAGCGGGCCCAGCCCCGGGAGGGTGGGCTCCTTAGCGCCAGTTGGTGGCAGCTCCCTAAGGGCGCAGCAGCACGCGAAGACCAGGGTTCAGCCACAGGCGGAGGGTAACTTCCCATTTAAACAACCCAGGCGCCTTGGGGCCAGAAGAGGGCCACCAGGCCCAGGGGCGGGTGGCCTCATGCTCCAGGGCTGTGCCCATGTGAGGGCACATGTCTGACCCTGCCAGCCGTCCAGGGTTCATGAAACACAGCGCAGGCTCCCCACACCCTCCCTGAGTCCCGCGGTGGGGACTGGCCACATTCACTGTGGGCAGCTGTTTGGCTGGCTGACCCGTCACCTGGCCGCCGTGGTGGCTTTCTGTCCCTAGGCCCTTCCTGCGTGTGCTGGTCTGTGGTCCCACTGCCTGCTGAGACCTTCCCGGTGATCAGACGAGCAGGAGCAGCCTCCTCCTCGTCCAGGTGAAAAGAGTAAGCTGGACGGCTTAAGCAGGGGAAAGTCGACAGGTTTAACGAACCCTCTGCCGCACAGGTGCCGGTTCCACAGCAGGCACGACCCATTCGGACTCAAACCGCGTTCGCAGGCTCCGCCGCCCGCTTGACTGACAGACGCCATCGCACCACGTCCCCGCGAGGAAACCTCTGTCTGGTGGAGGCGGGAAGGGACACGACGCAGCAGCCACTCTGGATGGGTCATAGGTATAAGTACCTGGCCGACAGGAGAAGGCTCAGGCCCCAAGGCTGCTTAGGGGTGGGACGGGTGGGACAGGAGAAGCCCCAGGGGCTGGGCAGCGGTGACGTGGGGGCTGAAGGACCGTGCGCTGACAAGCTTAGCCTGCTTCTGAGGTGCGGGGGCACCAGCCGGGGTGCAAGCTCGGCCCAGCTTGGGGCCCTGGGTGTGAGCTGGGGTCTTCTAGTCCCCTCTGCTGTGCTTCCAGGTCTTCGTGTTTCACGCCGTCACCCATGGGAGCTGCCAGGCTCAGGGCGAAGCCCCCGTCATGCGTGTTCGACGATTGGGCCACCCCGGGCAGGTTCTGCGACATCTTCCCAGGCAACTGGGACACTTGGTGACCACTTGCCCAAGGAGCTGCCTGAGGTCGCCGGGCTAACAGGAGCGGACACCGCCCGGCCTGGCCCTCAGCGCGGTTCCCTGCAGGCGGGGCCTCAGCTCCCCGCACCTGTGTGACCCTGTGACTGTGTGACCATGTGACCGCTGCCCAGGGTGGGCGGGCAGGCGGGAGCCCACTGCACTGGGCTGAAATCAGCCCAGCCGCCTCCGGTCCGGGCTCCGTGCCACACTCTGGTGTCTAGTTGCGGGGTCCGTGGCACTGAAGGCCGAGGCCTCAAGGACGGTACTGCCACGAGCGCCAAACGGCAGAAATGTTTTAACAGTCTCACGCCAGCGTCCTCCTGTCCCCAGGGCTCTCCCCGGGGGCTTTCCTGGAAAACGCACACACGCTTCCAGCTGCCCCTCAGGACCCAGACCTGCCCGAGCTGCCGGCTGCTCCCGCGGGGGGATGCACACCCCCACCTGGCCTCACGCCACAGGTCACAGCGAACAGCTGCCTGCCTGCCTGGGGGACCTTCCCGGTCTCGAGCCGCGGACCCCAGGTCGTTGCCGGGCCACTCATGCTGCAGGGCTGCCCCACCGGGTCCTCCAGGGGACTTGGCGCAGGGCCAGGTGTCCTGAGTTCTGATGGACGGGACGGCCTGGCCCAGCTTGGACGACGTGGGCTTTGTCCCTTCATCCCAGGCCTTCCTGCCGGCCCCGCCCCCTCCGCCTCACGGCCCTGGGCCCGCTGGCTTGTCCGTGGCTCCCAGGCCAGGCCGCGGTGCCCTCTGAGGCAGCTCCATCTCCTCCTGTCCATCCCCATGGCCTCGGGCCCTGGCGACAGTAGGAAGCAGGTACCTGTGGGCGAACTCTTCTTTAGACATGGCGTCCTCACTGCTGGCACAAAATGCACTTGCTGGATGAACAGACAGAAACCTCAGGCCTTTACATAGCTTCATAAAGCATGTCAGGTCGGCTGCCATTTTGCTGATCAGGACTCAGAGCCTCAGTCTACGGTGCCTGTAGCCAGGACCCTGGCATCACTGCACGAACTCACCTATGACCGCCTCATCCCCTTGCACAGATCAGAAGTGCCCATACCTAGGCCCACGTGCTGGGCTGGCATGTTGCCACCCCTGCCGCTGACCGAACCCCCCTCGGCTGAGTGACCAGCTGAGTGAGAAGCCGAGGGACACAGGCAGCCCCACAAGGGTGTACCCACGGGTGCACTGTGGCCTCCTTGGCCACTTCATCCTCCTGGGCAGCTGCAAGAGTCTCCCTCTGAGAAGGGCTGCATGCCCGCTCACGGGGTGGACGGGTGTGGCGGTCCAGCCAGAACCCCCGACGCCCCCATTCAGGCCCCTGTCTCCCACCTCAGATCGCTCAGTTCCCCAGGGAGGGCAGAGAATGGAGCTGCTGCTGTCCAGTGCCTAGTCACAGGCAGACATGCAGCCACCCGGTGGCTCACCCTGTACAAAGTGACTGGCTCCTATGCGGCTGTCCCGGGGCCTCAGCATGTCCAGGCTGATCTCTGAGCGGCCAGCAGCCCGTACGAACCCAGAGGGCTGCGTGCCGGGAAGACCAGCCATGGTCTGGATGAAGACAAGAATGAACAGGCACGTGCTGCCACATCAGGCTATGACCCTCTGTGGATGGCAGGGCCAGTGCCGCTAGGCAGACCGTGGCAGATCCCGAGGACATAAATCTCTTTCCTTCCTGGTCCCGTCCTCAGTGCCTAGAACAGTGCCTGGCTCAACCAGTTAAATGGTTGTTGAATGAATGAATGAATGAATGAATGAATGGAGACAGCACCATGGGAGCGGGCAGACCGGCAGCCAAGGGGGTGGCATCGCCTCCCAGATCAGGGAGGGCCTCCTGCGTCCATTCACAAACCTCCGTGTCCTAGAGCCATGCGGGGTTGGTATGTGTCTCCAGATATGTCACAATGTCCTGGGGAAAAGGCAGATGAGGGTGGTGAACGCCACAGCCCAGGTGCGGGGGAGTGGCGTGCCAGGAGAGAGAGGGTGTACCCCTGGGGGGAGGCACCTGTGCTGGGGAGTCGGAGGATTCCCCTCTATGGACACAGCTTTACCTCGAGACCGTGGGGTGCAGGAGCTCCCGGGGGGAGCAGCAGGTGCGGAGCCCTGGCCTTGGCACCAGGCACACTGAGGGTCTGGGGGAGTCTGGGCAGGGAGCAAGGGACAGAACAGGGGTGCCAGGGGCTGGATGGTGAGGCCGCTGGAGAATTTCAGTCTTTTAGGTGCTCTGTTGGATGTGTCACCCTGGTGGCAGCAATGGAGGCCGAACTGGGAGTAAGGGGGCCAGAGCAGGGAGGCCAGGAGGGAGGGAGGGTGGGACGAGAGAAGTAGGCAGAGTAAGCGACCCGGGGGAGAGGGTCTGGGGACACCGAGGGTGGCACTAGGGGACGGGGTCTCCCGAGGTCCTGAGCTGTGACAACAGGAGGGGCTAGCCATGGGGTCAGGACACATAGCAGCACAAGCGAGTGTGGCTGAATAACAAAAGCAGCTGGCTACTAGAGGGACATGGAGGCCAGCCACGTCCTGCCCCGTGGGCCTGGGGCAGCAAGGCGCCTGGCTGCTGGTTCCTAGGCCTGTCAGCACTGTCTGCCGGCACCAGCTGCTGAACTCATCATCCCCCCGCCCCCGAAGGCCAGCTTAAGCAGCCCCCAGCGCCCAGCCCTGGTCTCCTGGGTCCACATGCCTTATTTCCTCTGGGAGGCCCGGGTTTCATCTTGCTGCCTGCACCTGGCCCAGCCGCTCAAAGACAGGGCAGGTGTCCCAGGACCAACATGGCTCTGTGGCTCTGTGGTGAGGGGCTCTGAGGTGAGGGGCCACGTGGTCTGGGGGAAAGTGCAGACAGACCACCAGCCATTGCAAAGACCTTGAGGTCCAGGAGCCAGGTAGGTCAGGTGAGTCTGTGGGGCTGGATCCGGTGGACCTTGCTGGTTGTGGGGAAGCCATGAGCACCTTTGGAGGCAGAATTGCATCCTGGATGGGAGGCGCCCGGACAGAGCCAGGTACAAGCAGCCCTCTGGGACTGGGCACTTCTGGGGGATCCCTCGGCCCCCATAGCTGCTCCACCTGGCCTGATGACTTGCCATGGATGACCACCCACGTGCAGGCGCTGTGCCCTGCCTGGCAGGCTGGGGAAGATGCCCCGGAGGGTCCCTCCAGGTGAGATTGTAAGAGATCTGTCTGAGCTCCACTGCTTTGGGGGGGATCTGCCAGGCTGCGTGGAGAGAGAGGACCCCAGACGGCCCGCCCCACTATCCGGCCCTCCGCACGGCCCCGCCTGCACCGAGGCTCCTTCCTGACCTTGAGTTTCCGGAGCC